CCCGCAGTCTGTTCCATGCTTCTGGGTCTGTGACTGTTTTAATGAAAAGTGTCATTAGCCGCCACGAGAAGAATGCTCTTTATCACCCCAATTAATGGAATGTTTTGTGGTGACATGTACATAACCTACCATGCATCATTTTCACTGTTTTTTAAATGAACATTTAGTGCATTCAGTGTCCTGCCCCTGTCACCACTCTGTATCCATTTCCATCGCCTGTTCCTAAGGGTCAGCCCCCGCCAAAAAAAACACCCCCGCCAGCCTGGCCACCCCTGAGCCATGGACACGTCATTTCAATGATGTCATGCAGTGTGTGGCGTTTGTGTCTGGCTTCTGTTCCGTAGCATGTTTTCGAGGTTCAGCCATGTAGTGGAGGTGCCGGTACTTGGGTTTGATGGGGCATCGCATTCCAACGCCCATTTTGTGCGCCCTCCATTCCTCCGCCGGTGGACAGCGGGGTGGGCCCCCTGTGGGGCTGTGGGAATAGCACTGCTGGGGACATTCTTGTCCCCATTTTGGTTGGGACGCGTGTTTTAAGTTCTTTTGGTTCAGACCCAGGGGTGGAGCAGCTGATCATGTTTGTATTGTACGAAGCTCCTTATTGCAAAGGGACTGGCAGTGAAAGCAAACACTTGCGGTGGGAGGACCTGCCTTGGGTCTGGGACCAGGGGAGGAGCTTCCAGAGCTGCCCTAAAAACAGACACAATCTGGGCGGCTTCAACCAGCAGGCACCGTCCTCTCGGGCACCTGTGGGGTCGGCAGGGTGTGCTCCCTCCGAGGACTCTGGGGGGCCTTCTCTGTCTCCCAGCCCGGGGGCTGCTGGCTTCCCCCCCCACCCACCCACCCACCTGCCTTCACAGGCGCCCCTCCTGCCGGCGCCTCTGCGCCCAGCCCCCTGCTCCCCCGTGGGAGACACTGCCCTGGGCGGGAGGCCCCTCACCTAGTCCACCCTCATCTGAATTTGATTTCATCTGCAGCGACTCTGTTTCCCTATAGTTCCCGTTCCCGGGGGCCGGGGTGGGACTCAGACATGTTTGCGGGGGGGGGCACAGTTCCACCCGCTGCAGGTGGGTTTGTGTCTGGGGTGCAGGGCAGCCGGGGTGCCTGCGGTCGGTACGGGAGTGGGATGGGGTTGCCGGGGTCCCAGCCGGCCGGGCCCCTCTTTGCTTTTGCAGTTTCCTCTCCCCAAAGGGCCTCTCTCCACCCCCTGACCAGCAGCTCTCGGTTTGTCTGAGGTGGGTGGGTGGCGGGAGGCGGCGGGGGTGACGCAGGTCCTGCGTGCGAGTGACAGGCAGGTGGCTGTGGGCTTCCTCCTGCTGCCTCCCTCCCCCAGAGGCCCCTCCCGCCCTTGCTGTCCCTCACAGGCGGCGGGAGACCCTTCAGACGGGGAGTGGCACGCAGGCGTGGCCTGGCCTGGGCTCCTGTCCTGTGGTCACCGCTTCCCTGCTGCTCGGGGTCTCGGGAAGCCTGTGGTGGGGACCACGGCCCCCTCCGCTGACGCCTGCATTTCCACGGGAGTTTGCTTTCACTTCCTGTGTCTTCGCAGCCAGGACCTTTATAAACATAGAGGTGGCCCAGCCGTCCAACTCCCGGGTCTGAACCAAAAGAACCAAACACACACGTCCGACCAGGGTGCTGTGGAAAACGGCCCCGATCCAGAACCCGCGCCGCCTCCCCCCGGGCCATCTGGAGAGGTGGCCAGTGTCTGCCCATGTGGAGGCCGCGGAGGCCTCTTGGCCCGTCCTGGCTCTCCCGAGGCGGTGCCTGCACCTCCCAGCGACGGAGCACTTCCGTCTGAGCGGAGGATGGAGGATGGCGGGCCCTATATATTTTAGCTCAAACCTCCAAGTGGAATCCTTTTAACGTGCGTTTTCCCGAGAAATATGTAAATTAATAATTGCTTCATACATTATTCAAGGAAAACTTATTTTGTATCATCGATAGCTCTTGTAATCTTATATAAAGATATGCTAATGGATTTAATTAAAATAATTATACTGAATAATCTAGCCTGAACATTACCCGAAAATAGTGTCTATTAATCATCATCAGTGGTAATATTTTTAGCCAGAGAGACACTTACACCATTAAACCGCTACTATATGGAAAGTGCATTTTATTTTTTATTTTGGTTTACGGTTTGGATTAAGTTGGCACTCTCATGAGATGCATGACAATTAAATTTGCTTAGAAAAGAGTATAAAGTTTATTTAATTTCTTTAATGTGAACTATGCCAGCAATTAGAAAAATGTTCGCATTTTCTGCTTTCTTTTTTTTCCCTTTATTATTATTTTTTTAATCCTCACCTGAGGATATTTTTCCATTGATTTTTAGAGAGAGGGAAAGACAGAGAGAAACATCGATGTGAGAGAAACACATCGACGGGTTGCCTCCTGCACGCACCCTGACCAGGGCCTGGGCCTGGGAGGAGCCTGCTACCAAAGTACGTGCCCTTGACCAGAATCGAACCCGGGACCCTTTGGTCCACAGGTCGGTGCTCTGTCCACTGAGCCAAACTGGCTAGGGCTCCTTTACTGAATTTAAAAAAAGAGGAGGGGAGAGGGATAGAGAGACAGAAACATCAGGGACAGAGAAACATAATCTGTTGGCCACCTCCTGCATGCCCCCCACTGGGGGACAAACCCACAACCCCCCATTCAAAAGAATATCACATTCTGAGTAAGATTTTATTAAATAAAAAACTGATTTACCAAAAAATAAGAAAAATAAGACGAAAACGGGGGAAAATACCTCTCATTTACTGTCTGTTCCCATTATCCTGACTCCTTCCTGACGTGCGATTTGCCGAATGATTCTGCCGAATATTCCATCACTTCACTGGGGCCTTTGTAAGCGAGAGGCTTCACTGAGTGGAGGTCGTTTGGGAGCCCTGCGTGCTGCTGTCCGGCTGGTATCAGCACACATCCCCCCCTTGTCCGCGGGCGCTCTCCTGTCCACCTTGGGAAGCGACCTAAACGGAGGGAAGCCACAGGCTCCCCAGAGCAAACGGGGCCTCGGATCCCCAACCTGAGATTCTGGACGAACAGCCCTGTGGCCCGTGGGCGACGGAGATGAAACGGGCTTTGTGAGAAGGTCAGCCTTTTGGGGGGCGGGGGGACACGTCTGTCCCTCTCCGTGTCCCGGCTGCTCCTCCAGCTGAGGGGACCCAGCTCCCGGGAGCCGAGGATGCGGACGCCTGAAAGGAAGGGGTGGGGGTGTCTCTTGAGAATCAAGAGGTGACTCTGAAGGCATCTCAGTGCATGGGCGTCACGCAGGTTCTGAGGTGTCCGGGGTCCTGGGCAGGGATCCCGCTGTTGATTGTGGGCACCGACCTGACACGGGGTGGGGACGTCGGCCTCTCTGGTTAACACAGCGCCCGGCGGCCTGGGGCAGAAGGAGCGCCCGGCTCGTTTGTCGCTGTCTGCTTGGTCCTGTGCCGGAATCGATCGGGTTGCTGCCGGCAGGGACGCTCTGTCGGGTTCAGGATAAAATGCAGGACGCGGGGTGCTCCCCGCCTCGGGGCCCTCACGCACTCACGGAGCCGCTCTGGGGTCCGAGCAGTCACCCGTGCAAACGCTCATTATTAAAAGTCACGACAAGTAATTTTTAGTTTTTCAAAGCAACTTCAAGGTCGTCGAAGCAAGACTGTTTGAAACCAGAACGAAGTTGTGTCCATTTCGTGCTCTCTTCAGAAGCTGCGCCCTGAAGGAGGGATTGTGTTCACACTGGTTCTTGCTCTTGGGAAGCAGGGCTAGCGATCGCTGAAGTGAAGGGCGTTGCGTGCTCCGTGTTCGGATCGCCGTCCTGTTCTGTTTTCAGTTTGATTCTGCGCTTTAATGCGACCGGGCGGTGTTTGGCCTGATGTTATCTTCCTCCTCTTCATTCAGGGACGGGGAGCCCGGCCTGGTGTGAGGGGTCACCGAGAGTGACAGCTCGGGCCAGGCCGTCCAGTCAGGACACTTACAATCAGGCACTTTTCCCAACCGGATAGAGACCGAGGCTGAGGCTCTGGCTGCCCACAGACCTACCTTTAACTCCGGCTCAGCTCAGTCCTGGCTGTGTGATCAGGGGCAAAGTAATTGATGGAGGTTTCCTTACCTCCCAACACTGCTCACTTCCTGTAGGAGGCCTGAGGGGATTAAAGATACATTGTACCAGGGTCCTGGCATAGTGGATCGCAACATTATTACCATCACTCTATTGTTTTTGCAAGTGTAGGTTTTCTAGAAGATACATCATAGCAATATAGGGGGTCAAATTACTACAGGAAAAAATGGTTCCTACTTAAGGGCAGCACGGATATCAGAGGCACGGATGTAAGGGCTGTACGGATATCAGAGGCCCGGATATAAGGGCAGCCCGGATATCAGAGGCACGGATATATGGGCAGCCCGGATATCAGAGGCACGGATATATGGGCTGTATGGATATGGGAGGACAGTTTTGCAGTGGAACAAACACAGTCGTTTTAATTGCTGAACACGAGAGCGTGCAGGGATCGGACGGGCGAGGGTGCTGCTGAGGGCACAGGCCTTCCCGTGTCGTCGCCGTGCCAGGCTGAGGAGGAAACGCGCAGTGCGGGCGTTTGGTCAGCAGGCACTAAATGTGGGCCTCTGTTGATATTGCTGTCAGCGTTCTGTGTTGAGGTTGTAGCAGATCGCCGGTGTGTGGGTCATCGGTTTTTTCCTCTGCTCTTTCTTCATCAGCCGTCAGCCGCTCACCCTGCGCGCACTCATCCTCTTCGCGGTCTGCGTGTGGTTCCGCACAGTAATTATAAATCTGTGTTAATATTTGCCCAACGACACGAGGCTCAGCAGTCTCCTTTGGTCTTGGTTTGCAGGGGGCAGCGCTGAAGTACCTGCCAACGATCGTCAACGACGTGAAATTGGTGTTTGATCCCAAAGAGCTCAGGTAAGGAAGCTCGGGGCCCGCAGGACATCCAGGCGCCCCCGGGGCCGTCTCAGTGTGTGCCGTCCATGGGACGCACACCTTCTCGGCTGATTAAAAACGAAGAAGACATTGAAGACTGTGTACTTTTTCCTGCTTAGAAACTTGATTCATGTTTGGATGAAACAAGAGATGACAGGAGAACAAATCACACTTACTGTCCCTGGACCCTTTTGGTTCTTTTGTGCTCCCCGCATACACGCACCCCTAACACCCAGCACCGTGGTCACTGTCTCCCGTCGGCCCCTGCAGGTAAGACGTCCTGCTTTCCCACCGCACGGATCATCGTCCGCGTCATCACCTCTAATGACTTCCACGGTGCGCCCCCTCCACTGGCCGTCCCTTATCCAAGTACCAACAGTAGACACATCGATTGTGTGCTTCCTGCACACGCGAAAGGCTCCCACAGAGCACTTTCCACGTGGCATTCAGTTCATCTTGACAGCAGTGGCGTGACATAGTGCTATTACCAGCCCCCTTTATGCTAAGGCAGTTGCTATTGGCGCCCTCGTTGGTGAGCGGCATTGCTTCCAGGCCAACGCAGGCTTCGTGACCACAGAGGACAGGCCGCCAGGCTGTACTGACGGGTGGTACACCGTGTCCAGTTTATTCTTTATTTTATTTTTTAAAAATATATTTTTTAATTGATTTTTAGAGAGGAAGGGAGAGAGAGAGAGAGAAAAAAAAATCAATGATGAGAGAGAATCATTGATCGGCTGCCTCCTGCATGCCCCCTACTGGGGATCAAGTACACAACCCAGGCATGTACCTTTGACCGAAATTGAACCTGGGACCCTTCAGTCCGCAAGCCGACACTCTGTCCAATAAGCCCAAACTGACTAGGGCTGTTCAGTTTTTAATTATTGTGAAATATGCTAGGATACAATTTTTTATAGCTTAATTGTAGCATCTGCCCTTATTTACATCATTAGCATAAACAGAAGTGGAATTACTAGGTCTTGCATGTTCTTAAAAGATTTTTAATGGCTATCGTCCAGTTGCCCTCGAAAAGGTCATACTAAACCTGTATGTATTGGCATCTGTCTTTCTAAACTTTGCCAATACTTGGAATTATTACTGTATCAAGCTCTGACAACGTGATTGGTGAGGAAGGATCTCACAGTTTTAATTTGCCTTTCTTTGGTTACTAACAAGAACTCTTAACACTCCTTCAGAAGTATTTTTGGTATCTGTAAAAGTAAGTTCTTAACACCCTTGCTACTGAGATGTGATGTATGTGTTATAAAGTTCACCCGTGTTAGCGCATTCAATTATACAGTTTCCAGTTTTTTTGCGGAGGTGTGGGCCCCTCACCATAACAGGATCTTAGAATAGTTTCATTGCCCAGTAAGACCCCTGGTACCCATTCCCAGTCATTCCCCGCTCCCACCAGCAACCGCTCAGCTGCTCTCTGCATCGATAGATGGGCCTTTTCTGGGCATTTCAGGCGCATGGGGTCGTACACTGTGTGGCCCGTTGTGAGTGTCTCCTTTCACTTAGCGTGATGTTTTCAAGGCACATCCACGTTGTGGGCCGTGTCCGAGTTTCATTCCTGCAAGGGGGGAATTGGAGGGGTGCATTGTGTGCAGTGTATGCACCCTCCCGCTGCTGCCTCCCCTCCCCCCGTGCCATGAGCCATGTTGCTGCCTCCCCTCCCCCCCGTGCCGTGAGCCATGTTGCTGCGGTTCATGCGCACGGTTTTGTGTAGATAAACATTTTCCTTTCTCTTGGGCACATGCCTAGGAGTGGAAACACTGGCTCGGAGGGTAACTTGTCAACATTTTGAAGAGCTGCCAACGTGCTTTCTGAAGCAGCTGCACCGTCGTACATCCCACTAGCGCGGTCCGAGGGTTCCAGTGTCTCCACATCCCGGCCAACACTCGTTATTGCCGGTCTTTTATACCAGCGGGCGCCAACCTGTCGGACCTCACGGACCACCAGTGGTGCACGGACCACCGGTTGGCGGCCGCTGTTTTATACTATAGCCATTTCAGTGGGTGTGAAATGAAGCAGTGACATTTTAAAGTATCATTTTTGGGACAAGATTTTGCCCCACATTGTATAATGGGCATTAGCCAACATTCTGGTGGCATTCAATGACCCCTGAATGACCTTGCATCTTCACACTGTCTCGTTGACACTTTGGACCGTTTAGCTGTTTTTCCCTAAACGCTTTTCTTTTTCCTTCTCACAGCAAGATGTTTACTGATTTCATCCTCAACGTTCCCGTGGGCTTGCTGACCATCCAGAAGCTGTACTGCTTGATCGAGATCATCCACAGTGACCTCTTCACACAGCACGGTGAGCGGAACCCTGACAACCATTAAACTGTCCCCTTAGTCGCGGTCCGTAGGCCTTGCCCCTTCTGGATTCTCTCCCCCTCGCCGGAAGAAGTGGAGGCTGCACCCAATTAAAACAGCTCCGTTACAAGACAGGAAGAGGGAGCCCTTACAAGGAGGGTGGTAGTTGACATCTGGCTGAGGCCACAGATCGTGAGAAGGGAAGGCGGAGCCTCCCGGTTTGCCATTCAGGTGCGCACCAAGCCCTCGGCAATCAGCGGCATTGTCGCCTTCAGGATGCCTGATTGTCTGTCCGGGGAGGCAATCACTCGCTTCTGTGGAGAGGATTGCAAAGAAGCATCTCGGGTTTTCTTTAAATGTAGACCTAATGGTTCTGTCTTATCCTCAACTCTGCATTCTCGGACAGGTTTTCTTCCAACCCCGCTCCAAGTAATAAGAATGTTAATGATTTGACCTGAGGAATACCTTCCCTTCCCCCGCATTATCTCCTTACCCCTTCCACTAATCATTTTCTTTCTTCTTGGACCGACTGAATGAATACGTTACCCTTGTCAGGCAGTTTTCTTGAAAGCGTAACCCCTTTGCATAATCCCGTCACCTTCCTCATTTGTCGGAGGCAGTGTGAAACCTACCGAGGGACGTTCTGGCTGAAAGACACAGCTTGGTTCTGCTCCATGTGGCCCAGACACGGGCTGCTGCCTGCATTTTCCTGTGTCCTCACGCGTGGATGAGGGGCTGGGGTGGCCCACGCCTGGGGCGCGGGGATGTTCCCGCAGAGGTCCTGGCTGGGCCGACCACCAGTGTGTGTGTGGCTCGGTCCTTTGTACTTTCTGGGTTACTGGGCCCTCTGTGTGCCTGCTCTCTTTCCTCTTCTTCCTGATTTAACTTCATAAAATGCACTGGAGCCTACATGGAGGCAGCGTGAAACCTACCGAGGGGTGTTCTGGCTGAAAGACACAGCTTGGTTCTGCTCCCTGTGGCCCAGACACGGGCTGCTGCCTGCATTTTCCTGCATCCTCACTTGTGGATGAGGGGCTGGGGCGGCCCACGCCTGGGGCACGGGGATGTTCCCGCGGAGGTCCTGGCCGGGCTGACCACCAGCGTGTGTGTGGCTTGGTCCTTTGTACCTTCTGGGTCACTGGGCCCTCTGCCTGCTCTCTTTCCTCTTATTTCCTGATTTAACTTCATAAAATGCACTGGAGCCTACACTTAGAGCTAAGGCTCAGAGGAAATGTGAAGACTTCCTCTGGTGCTCTTCTGGAGGAAAAACCTCAAGGCAAGAAGAGGACAGGCTTCTTTAAAAAAAAGAGAGAGAGAGGAAGGGAGAGGGGGAGAGAGAGAGATACATCAACGATGAGAGAGAATCATTGATCGGCTGCCTCCTGCACACCCCCTACTGGGGATCGAGCCCACAGCCCAGGTACGTGCCCTGACCGGGAATCAACTGTGATCTCCTGGTTGATAGTTCGATGCTCAACCACTGAGCCACACCAGCCGGGCCTTACTCTAGTTCTTTAGCCCAGCGGTCGCCAGCCGGGTCCGTGGACCGCTAGTGTCTGTGAGGTCCGAAAGGTTGGCCACCGCTGCTTTAGCCCATAGAAACCTTGTCGGGAAAGTTGTTTATTTCTGGTGATGATGTCGCCCAGGTGCCAAGTGGTGTGTTTCTCTCTCTCTTTCTCTTCCTATTTCCGTTCTCATTCTTGTTCTACAAGTCCTTTGTCACCGACCAACGCAAAGCCTGTTTCGGAAGTATGCCCCATGCAAATAAACACTTATAGCTTTTATTAAGCATTTATAGCTTTTTATGAAGCAATAGCTTTGCTTAATAAGGAGTTACCAGGATACATAATTCTGTAGGATACGTTGCATCTTTTTAAGCACCAAGTTGTATCTTTTTAACAGCAACCTGTACCCACCAACATAGTAAATGAGATTGTATGAAATATGTGAATCCCAAGTGTCCTGGGCCTTCCACGCGTTCGAGCTCTGGCCGGTCTTGCTTTCCCTGGAGATGGGGAAGCACGTCGCAGCCACCCCCGCATTTCACGAGGGTGCCTTTTCCAGGGTGTGGGGTGTTCCTAGTGAACGGCGTTGTTGCAGGAAAGGGGGGTGGGCCCGGGGCTGGTCCCCTGCTGGTGTGGGCGCTGACCTGGCATGTCCCCGCGTCGGCTCTGGGCCGCAGGCAGGGCCTGCGCCTCGTTAGCATGCTGGGCACGCGGGCCGTGAATGGGCGGTGATGGCTTCCGCGCCTCTCACGATGTGACTTGACTCCCTGAGAGCCGGTTGGGAAGATTGTGGCTTCACACGGAAATGACTCTCCGCAATCTGTGGTGTGGACGGAGCAGGCTCTCCAGGCAGGACGCGGAGCCGGACCGGCAGCGCGGCGCAGTGTGCGCGTGTGTGGCTTTGTTCCCAGGTGGTCGTGTTGCTGCCCAGGGATGTGACAGAAGCTGTGAGAAGGACAGCTTGGATCCTGGAGAGGACTGAGAAGTTTCTTTGCCATTAAATTAAAATAAACACTAGGAGGCCAAGGTCTAGGATTTGTGATCACAACATGTTTTGCATTAATAGCATAGAAATTGGAATAAAAGGAATCATCTGAGGTCGCTGTATCTTAGAGATTAGTCAAGAGCATTGGACTTGCAAGAAGCACTTGCCCCGCATGTGCCCTCCCCCAGGTGCCCCCATGTGCCTTCCCCC